TATATATATATATATATATTATATCAAATTCATTTCAGATTTCATTAAACCTGGTTCTTTGATGCCCGCATTAATTTAAAATAAAAAGACCCAATGATTGATTGAAGATAAGGTTGGATGTTTAAAGAGGAAAAGTAAAGCACGAAGTCCTTTGGAATGCTTCTCTAGAAAATACTTAAATCATACAAAGCGAAATGCATAATAAGTAGCCTAAATTAATCTCTTAAAAATAAATCTATATATTAAAGTGATTATCCATAGTTATTGGGATTATTATTGTCCCCTAGGTTTCAGCTTCAGCTGAAGTACTGCTTGCTATGTATAAATGTAGAGGTAGTCAATGATGTATAAAAACCAAGATAAGACGGGAAACTCTTAAATTTTGAGGTGATGACTTCCCACAAACAAATGTCTAAGTATAATTAAGTTCAGCATATAATCAAATCTTGTGTATGGTTGACTAACTCCAAAAGTTGACATAATGACTTCCTAATGTGGACAACTACATACTTTTAGTCGTTCAGGAAGCGTCATGCAGCCCGGGAGAGGGCGATGGTGCGTAGAAGATGAGAAAAGGCATACGTGATGAGTGAATTTATATTAGAATGTTGAGGGGGAGGGATTCCGCTATCAAAGTAGAAAATAATATGTTGCATGAAGGAGTCTGAGTAATCTAGGTAGCTCACCGCATGCACACTTATGTTACTTTAAAAATACTTATGTAAAAGGAGAAACAAGACTACTATTAGCCTTCCTACAAAGTCGTTGTAATATATGTGTGTGTGCTCTAACAAGTTTGGAATGGGTGATAATGTGTTAGGGGATGGATGGAGAAGATTAGATTATTGACACTACACATAACTATAGATGCAACATATAAGAGGAACTTTGAGCTAATAAAAGTGGGATAGTAGTAATTAATTAGTGGATTAATTGTGCATTAGTTTTCAGTCCTTACAACAACAAGAGTCTAAGTCAAGGCTATCAATGAAACCTATCAACTTGAAAACCAAACTATATTAGGGTAGACAAAGTTAGAATAGGGCAAGTTATTGTTAGAGGAGATATGGGTAGACCCAATTTGGATAGTATTTAAAAAGACATCGAAAAATGGGTTATTAATAGATTATAAATAGGTACAAATGAGTCATTTGAATAAGGGACTATTTTCATTGTATTAAAGGAGTTGTTCTCAATGTTGAAAGTATATGATAATAGGAAATCTTGACTAATAGAAAAAGTTTTCTTTTAAAAGTTTGGAGAATCAATTAAAAGTTGACCAAAGGACATTGGCAAGAAAAAAATTGAAAGATGAGTAATTGTTAGAGAACCTATCTAAAGGATGATTTTAACTAGAGAAAGTGTCATGAAGTTTATTATTACTAATTAAAAGATGCCTAAAAAAGAATTGTTGATAATAAAGCTACTAATACAGAAGAGGTAGTTGAAAAAGCTAGAGATGAAGTCCTAAATTTGGTGGTTGGGCTTTGAGAACCCTAGAAATCAATTTTAGGTTAGGCCATTAGAAACAATCATCTAGGTGGGTTATAATCCAAATGCCAAATATGGAGGGTACTAGCTTACCTTAATATGTATGCTTCAAGGATGATGAAGAGGGTCCAAACAAACATCCATTCTTTTTCACTTAAAAATAAGAAGAAGCTAAATGTGAAGAGCAAAAAGAATGTAACTTTGAAATTTCTTGTGAAAACATAGAAAGAAAAAAGACACATAAATCGCTTTGATTAAAATTAGGCCATTGAAGTTTAAGTTGAGTTCCCATAGGATTGAAAATGTCGTTTTTAAGCTACCTTTTGACCTTAAAGACTTGGGTCTTTTACTTAGTCTTCTTTGAATCCTTTCCAATCTCTTCCCAAATGTCTTTTTTTAACCATTTCTTCACTTTAAAGAAATCACACTTGGTTTAATCTTCAACTTGAACTATAATTGAGCTTACACTAATTAAAATCAAAATAAGAAAATAATAATCCAATTAAAACCAAATCCATTAAATTTAAAATGTCAACAAAAAACTCTAAAATTAATGAAATTAAAACTCGTGAAACAAATTGAAATTAAATTCATCAAGAATCAAATTCATATTTGAACAAAATAAAACTCATTTCTAAGAAATAAAGGTGAAATTAATTAAAATTAAAATCAATCAAAGTAAAATGGACCAAACAAATTCAAAATATAAAAACTTGATATAAAAAAGCATTAAAAAATGAAATCATAAGAGAAATAAATTTTAAATAAAATCAAACCTAAAATTCAATAATAAAAAAAAATTAAACCAAATTACAACTTAGTACATCTTCCCATCACCTTAAGCTTAACCTAACCCATCTAAAGCACATTGCAAATTCTAACTTAAATAATTTCATAACCAGCCCAAACCCAATCTAAACCTTAATCCAAAGCCATATCAAACCTCACTCCCTTCCCACATTTATGCACATCATAACCCTTCCAAATTGCAAATTCCAATCATCTTTCATATAACCTTACACTTCAAACCAATCCACAATTTCACTTCAAATTCATTCCAACCAAACTCAAGCTTGCTCTAGCCAATTCCAAGCCTCCAAATAAACCCATAAACAAGCCAATCTTAAGCCATACCAAACCTCCCTTTAGCTCTTCAAATTGGAGCAAGAGGAACGTGTGTGGAGTCCAAACAATCATTCTAAAGCAAACAATTTCATAGATCATCACTTCCACAATTGTATAACTCAAACTTTATAGACAATATACTCTCAGTAGTGATCATTTTTGAAAGAAATTATTTGTTAATTGAATTTTGATCATAGTATTGAACCCTAAGGACATAAAAATCTATGCTTGATCTCACAAATCATGTGAGAATTCACAAACAGCTTTGGTTCATCATCCTGTTCAAACGATGAACAAATGTCGTCCATTTCGTTATGATTGATTTGGATGACGGAGGTTAAAAGTCAAGGGAACCGAACTAGATCATAGCAGAGACCAAATATTGTCCCGCAATCATTTGCAATAGTTGGTCATCCAATCTGAAGGCGTCATATGTTTAAGTGATATGTTTTGAGGTTGTCGTGTGGAAAGCAGAAGCTAGCGTGGCTTGGTGAGTCGGATAATTGATTTAATAAAAGATTAAAAAAATAGGAGAATCAAAACAAAACTTTAAAATTCATATATAATGGAAAAGAAATCATAAAAATATAAGGCAGAATATTGTGGAATCAGAAAGCAAAGATGAACAATGTGGAACAAAAATTAAAAGAAATTAATTAATGTAATTTTCATATTTAAATAAAATCAATAAAATACGTGTTAAATCATAAAAAAAATTATAATAATAATCAAAATGATTTGAAATTTTCACAGTGAATAAAGCATAAAGCGAGTAACCTTAATGTAATTTTCCTGCAAATGGAAAACAAAAAGGCATTAAAAAATTTAATTTTATAATAAAACAAAAAATAAAATAACTAAACTAAACATAGAGATTTGCTACAAGAATTCAAAAATACGACGACAAATACTACCTTTAAAAAATCATAAGTATGAGAAGGGTCTCTCCCATCGATTTCTGCTTATTGAGAAATTGACGGTCACATCCATCGATAATAATAAAACAAATGA